TGAGTCTGCCTCATCCGTTCCCACGATCTAACACTGGCGACGAAGGTGGGATTGGAAGGCAACTAGGCACGAGAACAGAAACAACCCAGCAAGCAATCCAGCCCGGAGCGAAGCACGGCAGTGAGCAACCATCTTAAAAGCAGCAGATTTGAATTGGCTACAAGCAAGCTACGAGATGACGACGCATCCCCCACCAACTCCGTTTGATGCAGCCACCGAACACTGGGAGTCCTACATGATGAGGTTTGACTGCTTCTTCGGCTTTTCTGAAGGCTGGAAGAAAACCATATTCTTAAGCTACTGCAGACCCAAGCTGTTCGAGACGATGAAAGATCTCTCCGAGCCAACGCCACTTCATTTGGTCGCTTGGTCAGTTCTCCAACAGATGCTGATGATGCACTACGCTCCCAGACCCTCTAAATACATCCGAAGGCACAAATTCAACCTCTGGAACCAAATGGGAGGTGAGTCGATAAATCAGTATGTTGCTGCACTCCAAAAAGCTGCAGCGTATTGTGAATTCAGGGATCTGAATGACCTCCTCCTTGACCGCATAATTTGTAGTGTTCAGGACACTCATTTGCAGAGGAGGCTGTTTGCGAAGACTAACCTCATGCTCCAGCTTGCCCTCAATGAAGCCAGGGCTACCAAATCCTCGACCAAGTTGACAAAAACCCTACAGAAACAGAACAGCCCAAAGAGCGCCTACAAAACCACCGGTGTGCATCATGAGACCGCAGAGCCTGAGGCATCAGACAGCGATGATGATGTATAACGCATACACAATGATTGCAAGGAATCGGCGCAGAAATTCGAATTGCAGTTTCCACCCTGCACCGGCTGCGGAGGCAATCACCGGTGATCAGGTTGCCACTTCAGGGATGCCATCTGCCAGCACTGCGAATGGAAGGGACACATCGCCAGAGTCTGCAGGAGCAACTTCCCAGCAGCCAGCCGACATCCACAACATCTACCAATGCACTCACAACCGCAAAGATGGGGGACATGGCAGCCGTGACCCAAAAAGCAGAAGGTCACCGTCTTCCTGGAAGGATCACCATGCTCCAGGGAGATTGACACGGGGTCATCGCTGACCATCATGTCCTGGGCCACTCTAAAGAAAATCATCCCCAACCTGAGAAGGCACAAGCTGTGAGTTCCAGACATAGTGAAAGAATATCAAGGGAACCAAGTCCCGGTTCTTGGTCAGGGCACCTTCTGGGTGCAATACAAGGCATTCAGTGGATTACTTCCCATGTAGTGAGCGGCATGTTGCCAAGCCTCCTAGGACTGGATTGGTTCAAACCCCTGGGCCTTCAAGTAACCGGAATCAATGCCATCCAGGACAACAGTACCGAAGAGCACAAAAGAACTCTTTAGGGAGTTCATGGACGTCTTTGGCACCGGTCTTGGTAAGTACATGGGGACCCCCATATCATGCAATCTAGATCCCAACGTAGCTCCGATTAGGATGAAACCCAGGAGAGTGTCTTTCGCTCTCCTAACCAAAATTGACTTAGAATTGGACAAATTAATTGGCCAGGGGATCCTAGAGCCGGTAGATCATGCCAGATGGGAGACTCCTATAGTGACCCTGGTCAAGCCGGATGGGTCAGTCAGCACCTGTGCAGACTATAAGTGTATAATAAACAAAGTGTTGCTACAGAGCGCTTACCCTGTATCCATTGTACAGCATTTACTGCATTCATTGGAGCCCGGCAAAGTTTTTGCAAAACTAGACATGGTGCAGGCATACCTAGTTGCCTGTAGATGGCGCCACAGCAGAGGCCCAAACCATTGTGANTCAAGAGCTTTGGCTCTTGATCCGGGCTGGGAAAAATATCAATGAATGAAACTGTTGATCAATGGGGACCAACTTTTGCCACCATCTGCATATCTTTCAGCTTAATTTTTTTACTGTGTTTTATTGTGAAGCGCCCAGAGAGGTTTGGCTATTGGGCAGCTTAGAAAATCTCACGAATAAACCCATAGCTACACGAATATGTACAAACCTCCTTCTATGCAGCCATGCAGCATAAGGTCAGTGTGAGTTCCGAGTTCTTTCATCAAGAGTTTCCAATCTTCTAAACAGAAGCCACAGTCTCGGCAGTCCTTGTGTTTGCAGTTGATCTTGGGAGTTACTAGAGCCACTGGGGGATCTGCAAAAAAGACAACTCTGCATTCAGTCCCACAAGCCCTGGTCCTCTCACAATTGGACCACTGTAATTCACTCTACATGTGAAGACTGTCCATAAGCTTCAGCTGGTACAGAACACAGGCAGCTCTTGGGCAGCTCTTGGGGCTCCTAAGTAGAAGTGAGTTCCTACCAGTTCAGTCCAGTTCTGCTGAATAGGTAGTAAAAATCTGGCATACCTTTCCCAACTGGTAGTAATGGCAGCCTGGTCACACCCCTGAACTGGTTCCCCATTCACCCCTCGCTTGCCCCACCCTGCCCAGTCTCTGCTCTGCAGCTTGCCTAGATAAGCACAGCATCCTTGATCTGTCTGCCAGGTAAGCCAGCGAGTCACGGCTTAGCTAGCTGCCCGTGCCCCCTTCCCCGCAGCCCTGCCATGCAGCATGCTCCCCTGCCTTCCATGCACCCTTACTGGCATTTTCGTGACCAGCTTGCAATGGCAGGCAAATAGAAGGTTGCATGGAATACAGGAAACATGGCGGGACTGCTGGGAAGGGAGCAAGCAGCCTACTCCCCTCCCCGTGGCCCTGCCATGCTTCCCTGACTTCTATGTGGCCTCACCGGCATTCCCCCATGCCCTCGTGTCTTCTGAAGTTGGTGTCCAGCCCGGTTTGGCCAGTGGGTGGGCAAGTGGCCCTTGGTGGAAACACAGATACTGTGCTGGGGCTGAGAGGGGTGGTGGCAGTGATGCTGCGGGAGGGCATCCGGGCCTGCTGCACACGCATCCGCTTCGTTTCTTCAAAGACAGAGCCCCCCTGCTGCAGGGCAATCCAAAGAGGGGAGGGGATGCTGCAGAAAATGCTGCCTTCCACCCGGACTGTGTGCCTCTCGTGCCGGCTCTATGGGGCTTCAGGCTCCAAAGCAGCCCACTGGCTTCCCACCCAACCACCTGCCTGCTCCATGGCCATGCCACTGCTTACTGCCAGTGAAGAAGCCGAGCAAGAGGTGGAAGCCACTGGGGGTGGGGGGGGGGCACCCGCTCATGTCGGGAGAGGGGTGCAACCAAGTCTCCTCCGCGCCGGGTGCTGGACTCCACAGGCCAAGTTCCCAAATTAGTGCCAATGGTTGGATGGGCCAATCTGAAAAGAGAGCAGGCAGGTGGCTGTTTTGGAGCCTGTAGCCCCGCAGAGCCGGTACGAGAGGCATGTGGGCCCTGGGGGAAGGCAGCCTTTTCTGCAGCATCCCCATCCCCTTTTTGAATCACCGGCAGGGGGGGGGGGGGTGTTTCTGCCTTTGCAGAAATGGGACTGGAACATGTGCAGCAGCTCCTGGATGTCCGCTTGACTGCCCAGAGGACTTTCTTCCTTCTCCCTCTGCCAAAAGAAAGAACATCCCCCTATCCTGCTGGTCCTGCAGGGCGGAGTTCTGGGATGGTGGGATATTCTTTCTTTCAGCAGCAGGACAAGGAAGAAAGTACTCCAGGAGGTCAGGGGGTGGACATGTGCAGCAGGCCTGGGACGTTTGCCTGGTTCCTGCCCTCCTACAGCACTTTCTTCCTCCTCCTATTGCTGAAAGAAGGAATACTCTGCTGTCCCAGAACTGCACTGCCATGGGGAATTCTCCTGCATGGATGTGGCTGGTGGCAGCAGCGCCAAG